TGATGCAATGTTTCTGGGATAATGTAACAGTTACGGACGGTAATAACTAACTAAATATACTATTGGCCAGGTGATTGTAGTAACTGAAGGAAGCACAAAATAAGTTTCTATTCTTAGTAAAGCTTCCAACCTCCATATGGTTTCCACACTTTGTGTAACTCACGCCACTTAATGATTAGTTACAAATTACAAAGCAACACAACACAAGACAACATCATAAAGATTAGATTACATTACATTGTCACACTGTTGCACTGTTACATTACATTACAACGTTACAAGACCCTTGCAGAAGTCATAGTAGATTGCATTGCCAAGAAGTTATCTTATAGAAAAAAATAATAATATATGATTTAAACCCAAGAAAGACCAATGTCGCATGAATCTTCATCCCGGCAAAGACCAATGCCAGACGAGTCTGCAGCAGATCAATCTGCAGCCCGAGAGAAAGCCATTAATGATTGGCTTCCCGTCACTGCCTCTAGAAAAGCGAAATGGTGGTATTCCGCTTTTCACAATATCACAGCCATGGTTGGTGCTGGAGTTCTCACCCTTCCTTACGCCATGTCGAAGATGGGATGGTACATTTTTTTAACCTATCTATCTTAAAGTCTCCTATTTTTTAAATCCAAATTTTTGGATCATATATTTTTGTTTGTCTAGAATGTGATCCATATATGATCAATTTTGTTAACTATTTTGACTTTGATTTGAACTTGAATATATTTATAAAAAAATTACCAGGGGTCCAGGCATAACAATATTGTTATTATCATGGATAATCACATTGTTCACACTATGGCAAATGGTTGAGATGCATGAAATGGTACCAGGAGTGAGATTTGACAGATACCATGAGCTTGGTCAACATGCTTTTGGTAAAAAGTTGGGTCTATACATCATTTGTCCCCAACAACTACTTGTTGAAGTTGGAACTTGCATTGCATATATGGTCACTGGAGGAAAATCACTACAGAAGATTCAAGAAACTATTTGGCCCAATTGGAAAGGTCTTAGAACCTCTTATTGGATTATTATCTTTGCTTCTGTAAACTTTGTTCTCTGTCAATGTCCCAACTTCAATTCTATTTCTGCTGTCTCTTTTGCTGCAGCTGTCATGTCTATTGGGTAATATAATCAAACTCTCTAACTTTCTATTAATAGGAATCGATCTCACTAGTGACCAGACCGTTTTTGAGGCCGTATCAGACGCCCAAAATTTGGCACAGATGAACCGTGACTAAATAGGATTTCGTAAAATATTTGTCGCGGTTAATATGTGACAAAATAGGACTCTTATTTGTTTTGTCACAGTTAAACCTTGATTAACCTACACCGTTATTTACCGATTAATATGATGATATGATATACAATACAGGTACTCAACAATTGCTTGGGTTGCTTCACTCAATAGAGGAGTTCAACCAAATGTGGATTATAGTTACAGTGCTCATAGTATTCCAGATGGTGTATTCAATTTCATGTTGGCAATGGGAGAAGTAGCATTTTCTTATGCAGGTCACAATGTAGTTCTTGAAATCCAAGCAACAATACCTTCTACACCTGATAATCCTTCCAAGAAAGCAATGTGGAAAGGAGTTGTTTGTCGCTTATTTAGGAGTGGCTTTTTGTTATCTCCCAGTCGCATTCATCGGATACTATGTATATGGAAACAGCGTCGATGATAACATACTTATCACACTAGAAACGCCCTACTTGGCTCATTGCTACTGCAAACATCTTTGTTATTGTTCATGTTATTGGTGGCTATCAGGTATTCTCAATGCCGGTTTTTGATATGATTGAAACTTTTTTGGTGAAGCAGATGAAGCTTCCTCCTTCTTTAATTCTTCGCTTATTTGCTCGCACCGGATTTGTAGGTATGTGATTATTTATGTCTGAGTTGATATTCGCACCGATAGGCAGACAGCCGCACAATAAAATATTTTTTTTGAATTTCTATACACTAATTATCCAAACTTTTTTTGGATCATATATATTTTTTCAGCATTCACCATGATAGTTGGTATATGCATTCCATTCTTTGGTTCTCTTCTTGGATTTCTAGGAGGATTTGCCTTTGCACCAACATCATATTTTGTAAGCAAAAGATATTTTAATTCATTTACTAGTTAGTGTGCATATTCCATATATGATTATATTATCATGGTTGATTGATTGCAGATTCCATGTATCATATGGCTTAAACTTCACAACCCTAAGACATTTAGCTTGTCTTGGATAATTAATTGGGTATGATACTATTAATTGATATTATAAAAGTTTCTTTGCTATGGAATTTTTGTTTAAGTAATTTTTTATTGGATTACAGGTCTGCATTGTGCTTGGGGTGTTGTTGATGGTACTAGCTCCAATAGGTTCATTGAGACAAATCATTATTCAATTCAAGCACTATAAGTTCTTCTCATAGATTATTCCTAGAAGGCTAAGCACCGTAGAGTTATGAGGAAAAAAACTATTTATTAGTTGATAGTTAGTTATAGTCTCTAGTTCATTTTTGTTTTAGAAAATGTGTAAGAAACTGTCATTTTACAACATTTTGTTACACTATAATTAAATTAATATAGGTTGCAGAAACATAGATTTTTTTCTCTGATATATAATTTGTTGTTAAATTATTTCAATTGCATTTTTTTTTTGTTTGTAATTTGTCTATATATGTCTGAACTATGTAAATAAAATATAGTTTCTTTTATAGAGAAATTATTGAGTGAAAATGCAAGTACTACTAAAAAAAGGAGCAATAAATTTCATGATATAATTGTGAGAGAAAACTAGATATGATGTTTGCACTAAAGAAAGAAGGGACATAGGAAGAAGGGCTTAGAGAAAATTTAAGATAATAATAACAAAAATAGAAGAAAAGCAAGTGTCAAGTTTTATTTGTTAGTGTTCATTTTCACTTTAAAAAAATCGTTTCTTTAGAATTACAACTTAGGGATTTAATAGAAGCAAGATTCAAAGCAAGAAGATTTAAAGTATGAAGATTTAAAATAAGGTTAGGATTATAATAAAATTCATAAAATAACATATTAGTTAGTTGTGGAGATATCGTTAATGTCTATTAATGACATATGAGTATCATCAAGAGTCATAACAGACATAGATGAAGAATTATTTAAAGGCATAAATAATTTATCATCATATGATATATGGTGTGATGTTCCACAATCAAAGATTCATATGTAAAGAGACATATTTTTCTTTGTGAATAAGAGCAGATATTTAAATGATGTCGCACATGGTTGAGTGGAAAGAATTTTTTTAAGTTGTTCTGCAATATCATAAATTTAGAAAATTGTCTCATATGAGTATATATGATAAGAATTAAAATCAATGGTAATAGAAGTCGCACAGCAACATTGGATGATCAACAATTTAAAATTTCTTATTTTCTCTTAACAATTTAGAACATTGTTACTTCCAATGACATATTTCATTGCAAAAAGCACATTCATCAATATCAACTTCAATGCTCTCTTCAAGATTTTTCTTTGTGAATAAGAGCAACAAAAATATATGGAGGAGCCTAGAGAATTCCTTTATTTGAAACCAGATTAGAGTGAGGTGTGAATCTAATTTCTTATGCCAACAACTAATTAACAAGTGAATCAACACTAGGAAGAGGAGTACAATGTAGAATACTCCCACGAAGACTCTCAAAATCATTTAGAATGATTATTAGAAATTGAACGAGATGATGCTCTTCCCTTTGGTCGGATATGCTTTGCCAGATTTTAATTAAGTTGATTTCATAAGAGTCAATAAATCATATAATAGTCATGGTTTATTAAAAAAATTGAATGGCCACACTATTTTGTTTAAAAGCACTAATGTTACTCTCTAGCTAGTACCATTTTACAAAATTTGATGGATCATACAAATATTTCTAATTATCTCAAACCTCCTTGGTAGTACCATGTTTTTCTAGTTGCATATTTATTGAATGAGAAACAAAATTATTGTTCTAAATCAGGATCTTTGAATTATTAACATCCTATGTTTCAAACTCTTTTGTATATGTTGCTCCATCTCTTTCATATGTGGACTTTACAGAAATTTCATCAACTTAACTTCACATCCTCCTTCTTTTAAAAAATATATATTACATAGCTTCAAAATTACAATTTTTTTCCATTGAACAGAACAGTAATAAATTATAGAGAATCATCTTTTTCGTTGGTCATTACTATTATTCCAATATTTCAAAATACAAACAAATTCAAACAGGGGACAAAAAAATCTATCAAAGGTTATTTTAGAGAAATAAATCATAACACCCAAATTGATGATGAACAATCATTTGAATGAGTAAGGAAATAAGTTGTAACAAAGTCGGAGGAGGGTTTTCATTATTGCAAATGTCTCATTGATTCAACCAAGATTTTTAATACCATGTTAACAAAAGAGATGACAAAATAGGAGACGAAGAAAGAGACTATAGTTTCAATAGTTGAATAACGTAACTTGTGAAAATAAGAATTACAAAGAGAATATATAATAAAATATAAATAGATTAAAGTACCCTTAACCTAATTATAACAAAAAACCCATTACATATTATTTAAATATATCCTTAAGCTCATGATGCATTAACAAGAAACATCAAGAGTTTGTTAATCAAAAAATGTAAATGTTTAATGAAATGTGTCTTCGTAAGTAAATCAATATTTGCAAAGAGGAGGAGGAAAACTATAGAGTAATTGTTCTAAGCTAAAGATGGTGATGGATGAAGTGACAATTAATATCAATGTACTTGATACGTTTAAGAAATAATGAGTTGTGAGTAATTTTAATGGCACATTTGTTATCACATTACAAAAGGTTGATTCATAAAGAGGGATACTCATTTCAAAAAGTAATCATCACAACCAAATTATTTCAGTAGTGGCATATGTCATAACACGATGCTCGACTTCTAAAGAAGAATCGAATATAATATCTTGTTTCTTACTTTACCAAGAAATAAGAGAATCTTCCATAAAGATACAAAAACTTGTGGTAGACTTCTGATTTGTGGAGTCACGCCGATCAATTAGTTTCAGAATAAGCATGTAACTCCAATGAGAATGATGATGAAAATAAAAGACTTTGAAACGGAGTTCCCTGAAGATAACGAAGAATGCGAAGAATAACTTACCAATATATTATAGTGGAAGAGACAACAAAATGTATAAAATTATGAAGATCATAAGCAATATCAAATCTGGTAATCATAAGATACACCAAGATGTTAATCAAAGTACGATACAAAATAGGATCTGGTAGAGAAACATCGTTAGAGGGCGCATATAATTCAATTCAAGAGGATTTCTAGTATTAAAAATGTGAGCGTGTTCAAGGATGTTGGTAATATACTTGAATTTAGAGAGAAATTATCCTCTAGGAGAGTAGGAAAATCTAATCCCCAAGAAGTAACGAATAACACCTAAATCCTTCTTCTCAAATTTTTAGGATAATTGTAATTTCAAATCATCAATCTCGACAATATTAACACCTATAATAAGTATATCATTAACATATATTGACAGTAAAATACGGCTATAAAAGGTAGTTTTTACAAACAATGTCGAATCATGATTACTAGAGCAAAAAATAAGATATGTAATAACATTGATAAACTTATCAAACCAAACTCAGAGAGCTTGTTTCAAACCATATAAAGTCTTCTTCAACTTACACGCTTTCCCTTAATTGTGGGAAACATCTAACAAAGGTGACATATAAAGTTCCTCATGCACATCACCATTTAGAAATGAACTTTTAACATTTATTTGAGAAATATGCAAGTGAGGAACCAATGAATCATAAATAAGAGTGTGAATAGTAGTCATCTTAGCCATTGGAGAAAATGTTTATTCATAATACATACCATATTATTGAGAGAAACCCTTAGTAACAAGACATGTTTTGCAGAGTTCAATAGACCCATCATATGCTCTGTTTTGATTTTGTACACCCAAGAAGAAGCAATAACACGTTTTCTAGGAGGAAGATGTATTGATTCCTGAGTATATGTCTTGTTCATAGAAAATAATTCTTGTATCATAGTCTGCTTCCAAATATGGTCAAGAATAAACTCTTTGTAGGAAGATGGCTCAGAAAAACTAACAATAGAAGTAAGAAAAGAAGAATAGTAAGTAGATTAGACAAAATTCGGAAAATAAGTAGACTTATGATTACGAGACAGGTAACAAGGAGAGGGGGGTGAGTTGTATTAATAGTCGTGGGAGGTTGTTGGCTATATATGAGTACAATAAGGGTGTTAGTATCAAGAGTAACAATAATATCAACCTAGCCATTCTCAAAATTACAATTACTAGAGACATTACCATTAGGACTAAAAGAATAAATATATGTGAGTTTTGATCTACGAGTAACATGATAATTAGAAGAAAGAGAGTAAGAAGGAGTGCGCTCAAGAAATACAACATAAATATTTTGTCACATAGTATCCTTGAAGTTTTATATTTGACCTTTAATTTTTGTAGGAATGGTTGAAGTCATGGGATCTCAGTAGTGGCAAGAGTTAAACTCATACATTCAAATCCTAAGACAATCGAGTTGTTAACATAAACATTTCATATTAAAATTTGTAGTGTTATATTTTTAAAATACCTGACGATGGAGGGAGTTGTATAGTGTAACACCCCATACTTCTTTTAGGATCCTCTCATTGTCATTCCTTATGCATTGGCAACCACTCTCATCCCTCTTCGGCCACGAGTGTTACATATCCACCAGCTTCTGCTTGGTTCATCCTTGAACCATATCTTATTAGGAAAGGTCTACTCTAATACCATATTAGCTTTACCAGGATGGTAATTCAACTCGAAAGCATAGTCCTTCAGAAATTTAATCCACCTCATCTGCCTCATATTCAATTCTTTCTTATCAAATAAAATTTCCTTGCTTCAGCTGTAAGAACTAAATCACTTTTCAACTGCGAACATTAGTAGGAAAATACTTCTACAGAAACTCAGTCTTGAACTTCACCTAAGTAATTGCATTATGTTGTACCCCAAAATTTTCCCTCTCTTTTCTCAATACATTTCTCACAAAGGATCTCAAATGCTCAAGAATTGATCAGACAAACTCATCTCCTAAGCACTGAGGTCATAAATTAGGGTTTTGGTTTTCACAAGGGAAGTTGGATTTCTAATGCCTCAAAAGACTTTCATGGTTCATTATGAGTCTCCAAGAATACTCATGCCAAGTTTCAAGTCTTGGATCACAATTTTGCTCAATCAATTGATCAGATGACTGGAAATCAGCTATATTGGGTAAAAAGTTAACCTACAGTCAAACTTCAAGATTTTTGGCCCATATCAATATTTTTAAGTCATATTTATCAATTGATCAAGGTTTGATCACAGTTCCTCAAGAAAAGTGTTCAAATCATCAAAAGAG